GGCGAAGAGAACCCTTGCGCGTTTTTTCGCGGGACATTGTTCGGCGTGCGCGTTTTGTCCGCACGTCAGCCATCACGGCGTATTGTATTCATTGTTTAGAGGCTGTTGGAGCTCTCGGGTAAGAAGACGGCGAGAAAGAGAGAAGGGCGCCTCGTAGTGGCTCCGAAGGAAAGGAAAACTCACCGTTCGCCGGCTTATAGACAACGTCGGGTTCGCTTGCTTTCTTTCTTTTTCTCTCCCGTCTTTCCCCTCTTCTCCCTTTCACTCGACTCGAGGCTTGCACGAAATCGCGTGTCGCTCCCGTACCGCGTAGAAATGTCGCCTCCTCCGGATCACGACGTTCCGTGATCGCAGCTGTGCGCACAGCCGACGTTCCTCTTCCTTCTTCGTAGCCTTCCTCTCCGCCTACGATCCGTTGGAAATTCAATTTCTGTGCAAACTTGTGAAATCAAGAAGAAACGAAAAGTAGAAACTGGACATATTGGATATAGAGAAGAGCAAATCACAAAGTAACCGAGAGATAAAGTGACGCGAAAAAAGAAATTCGAAAGAGAAATTCATAGTCGTTGTGTGTATCGAACCAGAGAAAAAGAAAGAGCTTATTGTCCTGATTTAGAAGAAACGTGTTGGAGAAAGAGGGAAAAAAATAGAAAGAGAAAAATAGTAGACGAACGCGAGCAACTGTGCGTCATGCGTGTATCTACACATATATCTCACAGAATAGGATAAAGGGCACGTGTGGGATAGAAATAAATACATAAGAGAGGAATACATTGGAAAGGATGCGTCCGATTTTCTAGTGATTGAATATAAGCCTCGTTGCTTGATACGTGGATGAAAAAAGTGTTGCTGGAAAAACAACGGAAGAAGGAGAAGAAAAAAAAAGGAAAGAAGGAGAAGGGGAAAAAGAAAAGAAAAGCGGCAAACGGCTGGCGACAGAGGAGGCTACTTCCGGTGAGCGACAATAAGGTATAGATATTCTATTTCCATATAGTATTTGTTCATTTTCCAAACCGAAAATGTTGCCTAAAACTACTCTCCTTGACAATCACGTTATTATTTTTATTCTTGCTCAAGTAGAGCAATTGATATAAGTTGTATTTGTAATACATTGTTAAAATTATAAACGTTCTCTCATGGAAAATGTGTATCCGTATATATATGGTATACGCAAACTCGGTTGAAGTTGCTTTCTGTATTTGTACGGCACAGAGAATCCAAATTAGGAAACCGTTTACATCGTTTACAGCATTCGCATTCCATATGTGTGGTGGATGTAGGTTTCAGTAATGATGCGTTTAATATTTAATCGTGGGTATATTCGTTACCTCGTTATTCTAATTATTATTTGTCGAGTTAACTTGATGGAATGTGTGTCACATGACATCTTGTCACGTACAAATCTTTATCGATCGATCATTTTATAGCATGAATTTACGATTATCGTATAATCGTTTCGTATACAGACATTCTTTTTGAGTAAAAAATAGAAGCGTAAAAAACTTTTAATTATTAGAGGGAAAGAAAAAGTAACAATATAGTTATACGGTTATGGAGAGGGAGGATTCAAAAGTTTTTCGTTTACCGTTACTAATCCCGAGAACTTGCCTGCGTAGGATCGTTCCAACAACGAGTGACCATAGGCAGTTTTAGTACGTACTATTACTAGATTGTAATCTGTAATCCAGAATTCCAGATCGATAAAACCCTGAACGAAATAGCAGGTTATTTAACAGGAGAAATAATCGTTTTTAAACAAGTATCTACTTTATTCCTTCCGATATTAAAAACTTTTACAGTTTATACAAATCCACCAAGAGAGAACCGATTTAATTAAATAATCCTTGTTATTATACGCAGTTTGCGGATTGTGATGAGTTATTTCGAGAAAACACCGAAGCGCTAGATGTTTCATCTTAAAATCGTTTAAATGACAATGACCGTAGTACCATCGAGTTGGTTCTGTGTGTACCGTATACTCGATCAGCGCTCGTTCTCGCCATTATGCTAATGAGACGTATTGTCGACCCGACTGTACCTCGTTCGAGGAACAGTATCTGTTAAAAATCTTTTGATTATTATCGAATAAATTGCTATAAAACATATATATATTATATTATATTACGCAGAAATTTTTGTTTGTTTATAGAAAAAGAGAAAAAAGTAATGAAAAAGAATTAAACGACAAAAGGAGAGAAGGAGAAGAAATTACGCGATACATTGGATAGAATTCGTTGTTTGCAATGATGTCTTCTCTATATTTATTGCGTAATGCTTGAAATTTTTGTTACGGCCCGTAGTCACGTTGGTCGTTACATACGCAGTGTCCGTTCGAAAATCCCCGATTATATCGATGTCGTTATTCACGACGGCGCGCGACAGTTGTTACCGCTCGTTACGTCTCCGGGTGTCCCTGGTTTATTTAGAATTTCGAGGTACGCTCGCGGCTACGCGCGTATTTTTTCCTCGCTGGATTTCTCTCTCTCTCTCTCTCTCTCTCTCTCTCTCTGATGAGGATAAAAAGAGAACGAGAAGCGCCCTCATGTGCAGTTTTTATTTCCGGTGCGTTAAAAGCAGTACGAGAACGAGAACGCGCCAACGGGTGCAAACTTCACGCAACGAAGAATAATCGCTTGACGCCCGTGCGTCGATTCTCTAGAGTTGCAAATTTTTCGTATATTTCTCCTCCTCTCCTCCCCCTGGTAAATGACAAACGATAGCGATGATAACGAAGAGGTGAACGATGCGAACGACATGGCGGCTGCCTTCACGATACCCTCCGCGATAATCGAGTTCTCGTAACGGTTAACAATGTCTATCGATTCATTATGACATTAGATGTCGCCTCTCGCGCAGAAAGGGGAGAAATGCGTTTACACTGAAGCTGTCGCGTGATCGATACGAGAACCGACCGACTGCCGCGTGCGCTTGGTCGCTCGCGTGCCCTAAAAACTAAGGATCGCTTCGACTCGACCATGAAACGTCCGTTCGTTCGAACTTGTAGGGAAGAATAATTTTGTTTGTCGGTTTCTTAGGAGATAGCGTGGTAATTATTTTATTTTAAAGTGAGATATGATGAGATTATTGGAAATTTTTATTTTTTATTTTTTTTTGAAGATCAAAAATATGATAGTACTTAAATTCGATTATTAAATTATATTTCTCTGGAATCAACTGGAATCAACAACGTGAAACGAGTTGATTTATCTGAATTCCATCGGGCTAATAAAAAATTCCAAAAGTTTATTATTTTTTTTTTTTGTTATCCGTTTTATATTTAAAAGTATGCAATCTTTGATCGTTTGGTTTTTATTTTTTCTAAATAAAATACATATAAATTCTAAATACAAGTAAAGCATCACGTGCCCATAGTTTTCAACGGTTGCGCGTGATTGCAGCCACCGTGGATCCATCGTCAATGTTTGTGTGTTTTAACGTTGACCTTGCCGCTCCGCGTGCTCGCAGAGGCTCAAGATATCGCCGACGGATATTATATGGTACAATGGAACAATAGGGCGACGACTGTGAGATCGTATTCGCGCGTACAAAAGCCATAATAAACGAGAACGTATTAGCAATGTGATTCGAGTTAAAATCACGCCGAAACGTACACATCCGTGAGTTTGCTGAAACGTGGTACTGTATCGAGTGGAGAAGAGGGGCATGGGTTAGCGAGCAAAAGACAGAGAAAGAGATAAGAAGAGGAAAAGGGAGGGGATGGCGAAGACAAACCGATAGAATGGAATAACAGGAACAATGGAATCCAGAATTATTAATGCCCGGTTGAATTAATCACTTTAAAAGTACGACCGTTAACGGTCCTTACGCCGAGCGTAATCTATTTTGATTAAGATTAATTAATCAATTATCCGGTAAATTATCAAGTCTCGGAATTGCGACGACTCGAATTGTTTTTACATCTTCGTTTAACGTAACGATCCCGATCATTTTTTTCATTCTTTCTTCTTAGTTACCTTCTCAGTGATAATAATCCCGTAATTATATCATTTATTTTTAAAGTGACCTTATAAAAGAGAAAAAGAGAACGATTAAAAGAAAGAAAGAACAGAAGAACGTAAACGTTTGTATGTTTTATGTTTTCGTCGTTTCTTATAAATATCTCGATCATTTAAAACATTGAAAGAAAGTAATATACTAAAGTAAAATATTTTGATTTGATTTCGTTTCCGCAAATTTATCATATATTTTTACAATAGCCACATTGCGCTTTGATCGAAAAGAATTTATTTCGCAGCCGAATGCGACAAGTTCTTTCGATTCTTGATGAAACGAAAAACAAGCAATTAAACAGGAAGTAAAAGTACAGTTAGCACGTGTAATTAATGCGCGCACCGACTCATGTGCGTTTTCAACTGTCGAATAAAATATCTTTTCTTTGCGTATAGCTCATATATCGTATACACAAGTACTCGATCCGTCTTATCGATGCAGCGATTAAACACTCTCAAACTAAGTCTGCGAGAGTTCGATAATGAATTTCATTAAGAAATGTTATTATATAGTTCTATATCAACGCATCGCTATTCCCATCGCATCAGATGTTTCGTATTCTTGGATATTTAATACTATCAAGACAATAGAATAAATTATCTGCTACAACTAGTAGTATCAGAGATTATAACATCGGCACGCTTATCTAATTATCATATAATCTTCGTTCTGGTCATGAGATTGAAAGAAATAATTTAATTTGTACAAGGTGTGTAATTATCAGCGAACTTCGAAACTAGAGCGATTTAATTTCATCGAGACAAAGAATCCGATAAGAGGCTCCTCCGTTTGTTGTTCAAAAGTGATACACGCATCAGATTACGCAGTGGCTAGCAATTGCAATTATTCCTCTCGAGACAAGTACAAACGTGTACACTCGCGTTTATTTCCTTCGACCGTTTCTCACAATCAGAGATGTGTTATACACTAACGTTCGCGCACTCACACGCGCGTATATACCTGGTCTCGCACGCGATTCCATATAAGAAGGTCGATGGTAACGCCTAACGTGCCTTCTGAAACTCGATACATGTGTGCGGCACGGATTCGTGCCACATGTACGCGCTCACACTCTCACGCGACTCCTCGCCCCCCTATTGTGTACGAGTGCACGGCCGCACTCACACCAGCCCCCTTCTCGATACTACATATGTCGATGCGCGGTGAACGCGTGGTCGAGGTTTTCGTGCGCGAGTGTGCGTACCCGTTGATCCTAGTTTGCTGGCAGCTGCCATGAAAAAAACCGAAAGCCGGCCTTTTGCGGCCCTTCCAGAGAGATCCCGGCTGTCCGTGGCCCCGTCGTGTATTCAACCTTCGAAAACGGAAGAACACGAAGGAACGTTTGTCTTGCTCTGTTCGGTAACCGTGACAGCCGGATATTGGGAAGTGAATACAGCCGTAAAGTCTGGAATTTTTGGGAAAGCACGATTTTCCTTCCAAGGGACACGGGACTTGGATTGAAAAGTTTCGCTTTGTGACGAAATGTCGGATATTTGGACGAAATATATTAAGAAGGATTTATTCGTCTACTGTTGTAACGGTTTAAAATTTGCTCTGAATAAGAACGGAAAGGGTCTCGTAACAGCGTAACCGCAAAATAAGAGCATAAGGCAGTATCAGTGGTTTCGCACGGATCATTTCGTAGATAATAAACATTGGAGAGGAGAGATTACCTACCGAGTAAAAAGAAATGTAAGGATTGACTGACGTTAATTACGACACATCGAGCATTGAACGATTCGCAGACGAGACCGACTA